ATCTTGTCAGAACTGAATTTCATTGTGCTAAACACAGCCCGTAATTTCTACTCATGTTAAATCTCCAACACTATCAGCATCTTTGGGCAAGAATTGCTGAACATAAAGGACAGCATATTAGATCAAATCAAAGGCTTATCTAAACCAGCATCCTATCCCGGGGATAACCAACCAGATGTTTCTTAAGTAGGAAATGAACTAATTATATCTCACCAACCCCAAAGTTTATATTCCCCACTACCTAGTATTGTGTTGCTCTGATCTCTAAAAGACCAGCCATCTGAGCAGCCTGACTAAAAGCTGAAATTGTAGTTTAGTGTCACTCAGACTACTGTAAAGTTCTCCAATCCACTATCTAAAATTTAATTGAGAGAGAAGTTTCAAAGAAAAGCTGGCCTTGACCCACCCCCTTTCCTCCCAATTTACAGCATGTGTACTTTCAAAGGGTTCACCTTAGAGGCCAACTGTGATGTCCATTTGGCACCTATCAACATTATCATTTCTTGGCCCGGTAGGCATGCCAGCACGTAGATTTAAGCAACTTCAGTATGGTTTAATCGCTGACAATGTACGCTTCTTTATACTGAGTTTTACTAAGCTGCCAGATTGTTTCTGCACTTATTTCAAAATTATGATTTTATATTGACATATTCTGCAAACCATTCTAATTCCTGCTCCTGCTGATAAATAAAATAAAAATACTTAGGAACACTAATTTAATTAAATGAATCAAATCTTAAAAATACAATAAGGTAAATGTACCAAATTTAGTGCGATGTGTTTATTCATGTAAAAACAGACCTATGTAACGATAAAAAGGGTCACAAGAAAAATGAGAGCTTTCCACCCTTTTGAATTATTGCTTCCAATCCATAAACATTTTGCCCCAATTTTAGATTCTTAATGTTGTTCCGTTTTTAGAGAAGGGCATGGATGGAAGAAAAAATCCCTCAGCCAAATGGATTTAGACATACATAAAACTAGCAATCAAAGGATGGCTCAACTGAACTCACAGTGGTCAGAATAACTGGCCAATTTCGGGGAACTAAGATTCAACTTTCCACCTTGTGATGCAAAACTTTGGTTAACCCTGAACCACCCTTAGTCATTTCTATTTCAATCTAATCAACCTCTTAGAGTTATTATAATCTTTCTAAAAAGCAGAAAGGCAGTTAATTATCTTGTCTCCTGACCTTCTCAAAAGAGAAGCAGAAGAAAAGCAAACTAATGGAAATCTGATTGCATCATCACAAGAAAGTATTTCTAGAAGCCTATCCCATTCTGTTGCCCTCAGGTTGGAAAAGGATTATGGGACTCAAAGTCCAATACATCAGAAAGGCTGGGAAATACATTAGGATGGTAACCTAATCAAACAAATGGTGTTAAAATCCTAACTTCCTTTTTCTTTGTCCTCACTTCCCTCTCTCCTTCTCTGTGAATCGGAGCACAGAAACATTACTAAATACTTGAACCCCGGAAGAGAGGAAGCGGGGGAAGGGAGAGAGAGAGAGAGAGAGAGAGAGAGAGAGAGGTGAAAAGGTATGGTGATTTATTCATTTTTTGGCCTTAGTGATAATAAATTGCAAGTCTATAAAGTGAAAGTCCAGGAGGATTTAGTGTTTTATACAATAACTATACTACACTAGTAAAAGCAAAAGTGTAAACATGTTACTTATATTAATTAAATTACAAAAGATAAAATATGCTACAAATTTGCTATGTGGTGTTATGAGGTTTTCAAACTTGTTTAGGCTATGGATCCTGTTAATTAAAAAATAAAATAAAATTCCTGAAATTCTGATCAAGGGGCAAGCCTCTAGTTATAGGAAATGGTCAATAAAATGAAACTTATTTATTAATCAAATTAATCAAAAATCAAATTTATGCACCAAACATTGTGCTCATTCTAATCAAGGCATGCATATTTATATACTGAAATTATCTGAATCGTACAGATTCACCCCAAAACTTCCATTTCACCTTTTTCAGGGTGGGGGGGGAAGGAGGCAGAGCTGGGACAGGATGACTTTACAAAAGGCAGGATATGCATTCACCCAAAGACGGCTAGAGCTGCATGGCTAAGGCATTTTCCGAGGGAAAAATTGTGGCAATCGTTTTCACCCTGCTACTGCCTATCTTTCAGGCTTACTCAGATTGATGTGACATCCTGATCCACTAAAACTGTGAGAGTGAAGCTTTTGAATGTCAGATAACAACCCTTACTATACCTTAGCCATCCTTGACTGCATATGAGTGAACTTTCCTTTTCTCCCTTATTCTTTCATGGAACTCTAGGATTCTGCAGAACATCCTTTGAAAACCCTGTTTTAATTTGTGTATACTTCCTTGTAGACTGTGGGCTAATTTAAACTTCAGATTTACATTTACTCCCTCTGTTCTAGAATTGTGTTTAATCAACAAGCAAATCTTGATAACTCTGAACTGAAACCAAAGTAAAATAAAAATAACTCATCTCATAACTAAAGAGTATTGAAATTAGATTACAACAAGATTTCACAGGTATTGTGTGTGTGTGTGTGTGTGTGTGTATATATACCTCAGAAAACACATATATATATATATATATATATATATATATATA